ATTTTACTTTTTGATCTGACATATATTTTGGATTTTCCAGAGCAAAACATGGACACTGCCATTTTATTCATGTGGGAGGCGGGGGGTATCATTTAGTGCGCTCATTGCTCACAGTACCTCTAGTTTTATTGTTACTTAAATTGCAAAATCCCACCACAATTGTTTTTTGCTATACAATGAGCACAATTACCACTCGCTTGTTTTATTTTTCTATCTTTGATCCTTGCTGTGTCCCTTGAGTAACTGAATTTGTCTATGGTGTTACCATAGGCTACTATTAAAGAGCATAAAAGGGGATATGATTGTATTACATAATGCATTTTGATATTTCAATTTAATCAAAATGAAGAAAAGTTGTATATTTTACTACAGAAACAAAAGGAGATGCAAAGAGTATGTTAATAACATAAATATTTAACCGGTTTTACATCCATTGTGTTACCAAACATTGTGCTTTGTGTTGCTCAAATTATTTATTTAATTAACTTATAGCTCATGGAAATATAATATAAAAAAATAAATGCCAATTTAATAAAGATATTTCTGGTTTTTTTACATTGCAATAAACTTTACACAAATTTTGTATTAGAATTGGCAATTTAAAGGGTTTTTTTCCAATTGGTCCGCGGAGTTACCCAGTTCTGTCCTTTGCATAACGAAGACTGCAAAATCATAGGATTTTCAAATGGTAAAAACATTTAGTAAATAATTTGGCATTTTAAAGAAAATTAATTACTGGTTAGTTTTAAATAAGGGAGGAACATAAAACATATGACTCCAACTTGCATTCTTTTTAAATATTATTTATGTAAATTGTCCATGGAGTAATTAGATACGTCATTGGAGTAACTTTTCTTGCAGTAACAAAATGGACAGTAACACCAGGGAATTATTATATAAATAATTGGAAGTATAAAAGCAATAGCTGACTTATAAACATAAAGCATAGCTCCTAGATGATAGGTATTTTGTTATAAATTTGCTCAATGCATCAAAGAAATGGTAAATTAATTTAACATCACAATATATAAGTAACTCTTATGACTCAAAAATAAATTACTATTGCACTCAAACTTGCCTTCAACCACATATTGTACCTATGGTGTAAAGACCTGTGTCGCCCCGTGGGGATCCGAGAGAGAATAGGTCCTCAGTACCAACTTGCTTGTCGTAAAAAGGCGACTAAATGGGGGCGGTCCTTCGGATGAGACCGTATTAACCAGGCCCCGTGTCACAGCAGGTGTGGCACGATAAAGATCCCTCCCTGCTCAAAGGCCGTAAGTGCCGAGCTTAGGCCTAAATTTGCAGCCCTTCACCGGCAATGGTGACGTCTGCATATCAGTGAAATATTCTGGAGAGGGACTTTAAACAGTATAAAACCAATCAATCAATCAATCAATAAAAGATCTGTGTTTAGTGTCTCATGATATTTTGGCGGGAACAAGATCAAAAGAAGGAGGCTATAATAGTGAGGAGTTTCTTTAGGAAAGATAACTGTTACAGATAACTTTTATGTCCTGGTTACTCCAAGGACACGGCAAAGATAACACACACTTACCATAAAAAAATCCTATTCTTACTCTTTTTCAAATTGCATTTTAGCATGTATTTAGACAGTATTAAACATGTACAATACAATAAAGGTCATTTTACACTAACTAAATATATTTACATCAATAATCAGAGTTGAAGTCAAACATCTGGCGAAATCACAAGCAATTCTTTTTAATCTAACTCAAGTTGAAGGTGTTTTTTTTCAGTATTCAAGTCAATTTTTAATCGCACTTAATTTTTTTCTACACTTATAGATTGTTGTTAAATTCATCAGGTAAAAATATGTGATTTTATTGCAATATTTTCAAAAAAGCTTGTTTAACAGGAATTTGGACATTTTTTGAAAATGACCCATAAATAATCTAAGGTCCGAACTGAAATTAACAAACAAACTTTAAATAAACAGAAGTTATATCATCAGACTCCGGCTATCAAACAGTCAAATGTTCCAAATATTTAAGGAATGAAGCTTATTTCAACTTATGTTATCCGATATAACATAACTTGGGGCAGTTTACGCTTTATAAACCGCTTCTTTATAAGAAAGCGAAAACTGCCCCAAGTTTTGTTATATCGGATAACATAAGTTGAAATAAGCTTCATTCCTTATAATTTAATTTCAGGGTAGACAATAATACAATATTTCCTCCGGAAAAAGGTTTAAAATTGAGCGTTATATTAAAATTAACGTCAAGCGAAGTAATACGTTTTTGATGTAACTCATTGTGACGTAGGTAAGTTATGTTATACACTCAGCACACCTCGGCCTAGCCTGGTCCCCTGTCTCATCCTTGCCAAGGCAGGAGAGCCAGGTGGACTACATTCTATGCCTTCCTTTGATTGGTCAGAAAAATGCGCGCTAAATCATGGGTTTTTTGATCCGTTGCCGTTAACCACAGAAATAAATATCGACGTAACAATGACACGTTACGTCGACGAAGTAGAAAAATACGACGTCATCATGAACGTTTTCACCGGAAGCGCAGCCATTTTCGACGTCACAATGGGCTAAGATTCGGGGCAGATTTGCCCTGAATCCATTGTACTCCACCTGGCCCTAGTGACGCGGAGAATACGAAGCAAAACAGGGACAGGGAACCAGGCTAACCTCGGCCGATTCGTACCTCATCTAACTTGATGTAGTTCACGGAATCAGCCGAGGTTTGCCGAATGATGTTAAATACTAGCCTGGTTCCCTGTCCCTATTTTGCTTCGTACACTCCGCGTCAATAGGGCCAGGTGGAGTACAATGGATTCAGGGCGAATCTGCCCTGAATCTTAGCCCATTGTGACGTCGAAAATGGCTGCGCTTGCTTGAAAACAATATTGTGACGTCGTATTTTTACAAATAAACTAGAGGACGTAATGGATCATTGTTACGTCGATATTTATATCCGTGGTTAACGGCAACGGCTCAGTAATCTACGATTTAGCGCGCATTTCTCTAACCAATCAAAGGAAAGCATAGAATGTAATCCACCTGGCTCTCCTGCCTTGGTAAGGATGAGCCATTGGACCAGGCTAGTTAAATACAAAATGGATAAAACCGTTTAACAAATCAAATGACGTGTTACAACTAAAATTAAATTATTTATGTTTTCTAGACCCTGGTTATACCCCCGCTTACTCCCCGCTTGAAAAGGGGGAGGGTATATAGTGATCGATATTTCCGTCCGTCTGTATGTCCGTCCGTCCGTCCGTCTGTTATGCTTTCTCTTATCCGCAACTCCTCTTATACTACTGAGTGAAATTTAATGAAACTTTCACAGAATCTTTATTACATATTGGCATTGTGCACCTCATATTTTACTTTTTTGTACAACACGTATTTAAAGTTTCCCATAGCAAAACATGGACATTGCCATAATATGTTTACCTATGACATCACATATAGAAGCTTCTGGATAACATTTGATAGGACGAGTTATTCCTCTTAACACATTACCGTAAAACAATATAGCAACACATGAACATTATCGGAGGCGGGGGTATCATTAAGTGAGCGCATTGCTCACAGTACCCCTAGTTAAATGAGGAATGAATAAATTTCATACTCGGTGTTTGCTTTCATCAATATTTCTGAATTTTTACAAATAAACTAGAGGTACTGTGAACAATGAGCTCACTAAATGATACCACCCGCCTCCCATATGAATATAATGGCAGTGTCCATGTTTTGCTCTGGAAAATCCAAAATATATGTCAGATCAAAAAGTAAATCAGGAGGTGCACAATGGCAATATGTGATAAAAATTCTGTGAAAGTTTCATTAAATTTCCTTCAGTGGTATGAGAGGAGTTCCCAGATAGCATGACTATGTTGGACAAACATTTATTAATACAGTAATTGTATTGTTTCTAATCTAGAGAGATAACTCTAGCTCTGAAATAGATACAAATAATTTAGGAAAATATATAAAGTTAACATATGATTTAAATGTTCAAAAACATTACAGTATTCATTTAATTTTTCATGTTTTCTTCAATATTTTTTAATAATATTGCAGGAATCGTCTAATTCTGAAGTTGGACAAAATTTAAAATATCTGTATCTAGGAATTTGAAAGATTGATTGCGTGTCGAATAAAAAAGTGAAATAAAAGGTGCACAGTGGACTTTTACGAAGAGCGCTGACTTTTACAGTTGACGCTTACTTTTACACAAGGGCTATGTACGGTAGCTCTTTTATGATATTAACATTTAGCTCAACATTGAATTAAACGAAAATAACGGGTTATTTCAATTCACATAAAAGTTGTCCTTGAAGAAAACGACAACCACCCTACCCTCAACTCCCGGTCTTCACATGTTAGTGCCCCTACCACCATACTTACGACCACTCAAAAGGTTTTCTCATGCATTATCAATTCTGTACTTCCGTACATGAAACAAGTTTAAATGTCCAAGTAAACCGTCAACTGTAGAAGTCAGTGCCTCTCGTAAAAGTCAATTGGCAATATGTAATAAAGATTCTGTGAAAGCTTCATAAATTTTCACTCAGTAGTATAGAAGGAGTTTTTGATAAGAGATGGGTACCCCAAAGCGTAACAGACGGACGGAAGGAAGGAAGGTAGACAGCTAGACGGACAGCTAGACGGACATAACGATTACTATATACCCTCCCACATTTCAAGCGGGGGGTATAATAACGATTATCATTCTATCAAAATCATTGACATCTTCTAGGGAAATGTTACATTCGATTTAAAGACAATTTGTTTAATAATTTAACGAGACTTCTGTTCTAAACGACCAGAGACAATACTTTTATTAAAAAAAAAAGAAAAATAATTTACAACTACAAACTGAGAATTATATGTACCCTTGAATCAAAAAGAATACTACTAAGTATTCAGTTACATGTTCCTCTCTGAATCAACATTTCTTTTTAAAAAGTAGCTTGAATGCATGTCAGCATGACTACATGCAAGATCACGTGAAAATCTGTCATTTCATTTCATAGAAAGTAATTGTTTTATAGTTGCTGCATACACAGCAGAGTTTTCTTTTCTCGTCAATTTTCATAAATACGGGGCTTCTCATATTTTGAAACAGTCGAATGAATTCACCAGTATTTGATATAACATGGATATTATGGCTTTTCATTCCTGCTACGTATACATTTCCCTTTGAATCACTGTCAATTCCATATTGACATTTTAGTTCAGGACTTATGTAATCCCACAACTTTTCCATTTTCTCAGTTATTGCAGTGACTTGGTTTTCCTTCCAGTCAGTGTAAACTATATTTCCGAATTTTGTAGTTGTAATATGTGAAGCGCAATTACACTGTGTATCAGACTCTTGTATAAAGTTGCCCACATCATCGACTTTAGCAACCCCAAAACCACAGGCCAAGTAAAATTCTTCCATCCAGCTTGTTATTCCCAAATGTTCGTAATTAATTCTTATGGTCCTCAATTTCTTGAAATCAGATACAGAAAATACTCCAATAGAGTTTGAATCAATGCACGTAACAAAAAATTCATTTCCTTTTTGCAATATGTCAAAAGGGTTTTTTAAGAAGTTAATGTTTCCAATTACTTTCCATTTCTTTTCCTTAATCTCTCCATAACAAACTTTACCTTTCTCTCCATTAGAAAATATAAATATTTTGTTTGATAACCATGTTCCACTGCGTATTTTTCCTTCGGCAATACTAAATTCAGTGATTGCATAGAGCTGCACATTACTCACATCAAAATTAACTGGAATATCATGAGCTGATTCAATGACGTCAACACATGCTATTTTCTTCATTTTTGCTATTTCTTCTAAAATAGGTTCTCTTTTAGCCATTATCTGTGTGTCTCTTGTCCTAAATCTAATAGTTTGCAACTGCTCAAACGTCTGTTTTGCTATGTAATATTTTGTAATTAAGGTTGACTCTTTCTGTTTTTCTTTGGTTTTTTTCAAGCATATCGTAACAAAAGTCAGCACACTGGGTCCCATCACTAAAGGTTGCCACATTTTTATTCAGCATTTCTTTGCCTTTTTTGACAGCAGCAGAAAACTCATCCAGATGTTCATTTTTCAATCTCTCTATGAGACAAACAATATCATTTATGACTTTTTCAGTCTCCTCTGTGACTTTATCTAATGTGATTTCTAGCTGTGTAATACTCTTCTCTTGTTCATGTTTTCCATCTACCAGTTTCTGTTTAAAACTTCTGACATCTTCTAACATGTTGTTAATTTTGCCACTCTCTTTAAAACTTTGTGCAACTTTTTCAACAGGTTCAACAGAATCGCACTGTCTATGCTCAATTCCCCCACATATTATACAGCAAGGTTGTTCATGTTTGTAACAATATAGACTCAACTCATGGTCTGGGTGCTTTTTACAAATGCCATTTTTTCCAAAGGCTGACTGAATGTGTTGCGATTTTAACTCATTAAGAGGACAGATGCTATGATCTCTTGATAACAAATGTTTTCTATGAAACTTGGTACACATTTTGCATAAAAACTCCAAACAAGATAAACAAAAGTCAGACGCTTCTTCCTCTTCGTTATCTCTCATACAAGAATTACACATTTTTTGGTCTGGACTTACAAGAATTTTCTCCAGTATTTCATTCACAGGAAAAGTTTCAGCCCATTCCCCTGGCTTATCAACAACTGGAATATATCTTCGACATAAGATGTAGATGTAGATATCTTCGACATAATGGGCAATTAAAACCTAAGCGTGGTTCCTCGGCCTTACACACACTTACAATGTGTGACGATAAACAGCCATGACAAAAGGAATGGGAGCATGGTAGATATCGCGGTGTTTTAAATCTCTCAAAGCAAATAGAACAAACTGTGACGTCCTCAAACGATGAGCTGTCAGTCAAAGCAGTGGCCATCTTCTTACAAATATCACAGTATATTTCGTATGTTAAAAAAGCCTGAGGATGTATTATAAGAACTTAGAACAACACATTTTTCATTTTTCTCAGAAGTGGGCCAGCTTTTACTTTCGATTTTGTTTAATATATTGTATTTCGAGCCCGAAGTAAATTGTCCATCGTTTGATTGATTGATTGATTGTATATTGTTTAATGTCCCTCTCGAGAATTTTTCACTCATATGGAGACGCCACCACTTGCCGGTGGAGGGCTACAAATTTTTGTCCTATGCTCGGCACTCAGGGCCTTTGAGCAGTGAGGGATCTTTTTCGTGCCAGCACCTACTGCGACACGGGGCCTCGATTTATACGGTCTCATCCGAAGGACCGGTCTCCACGTCCCGCAGTGGGATTCGAACCCGCGACGTAAGGATTGACTCCTTACTTCGCGATTCTAGAGCAGACGCTCTAACCACTTCCATCGTTTGAAAGGAAAAAAAACGCATGGTAAACTTTAGAATTAAGAACAGACGAGACGTTCCTTTATATAATAGATAAAACTTTTCTGAGAGTTTGTCATTGAAGTATTGCTACTAAAACATGTTTAATCACAAAAAATTGAGGTACCTTACCAGGCATTTCTGCAAGATACCAGGGGTAGGTTTTCTAATACCTTTGGGGAAGAAAAATAATTTTCCAATTTCAAATGTTTAAGTGTTTGGATTTTTTAAAAAAACGTTTAGAAACTGGTTTAGAAACCAGAATGTTATTAAAATTTTGAATATTTTTCATACATTACGAAGATATACAAAAAAAAAAAAATGGGGAACGTCTTGTCTGACCTTAAATTAAAACTTTTATTATTCCGAATATATTTTCCAGCATTGTTATCAAACGTTTTAATTCATCTTTAAACAACTAGTTAACCAAAATCTTGAGTGACTTCATCGTCGCCAGCCAAGGGTTTCTGATATGCTAATTGCGGATAAGAGATGGGTATCCCAAAGCGTAAAAGACGGACGGACGGACGTACAGACATACCAACTACTATATACCCTCCCGCTTTTCAAGCGGGTGGTATAAATATGGTATATGAAAAGTTATTTTGAAACTTTTACTTCAATAAAATGAAAAGATTTATTATACCTCCCGCTTGAAAAGCGGGAGGATATTTAGTAATCGGTATGTCCGTCTGAACGTCCGTCTATATCTGTACGTCCGTCCGTCTGTTACGCTTTGGGGTACCCATCTCTTATCCGAAACTCTTCTTATAATACTGAGTGAAATTAAATGAAACTTTCATCTTTATTACATATTGCCACTGTTCACCTCATATTTTACTTTTTATTCGACGCGTATTTTAGGTTTCCCATAGCAAAACATGGACATTGCCAATATTTTCTTACCTATGACGTCACATATAAAGACTTCTGAATTTGATAGGACGGGTTATTCCTCTCTACACATTACCGTAAAACAATATATAGTGCTCAACACATGGACATTATGGGAGGCGGAGGTATCATTTAGTGAGTTCATTGTTCACAGTACCTCTAGTTTTTAGATATGATTAGACGTATTGGTAGTAAACCAATATAAAATATGTGTTTCTTTTTCGATTCAATCTGTAATGTAGACGAGTCCTTCATAACTAGAATTTTATATAATTATAATATTTACTATTACCAGGTATTATCTAAATCAGTGAATGGAACAGATAGAAATTTTTGAATCCCTTGCATCATCCTTGCGTAAAGTGAATCAATTCATTTTATTGAAATAATTTTTTTAATTTACTTCTCATTTACCATATATTTAAAGTAAAAATTCAAACATGCTTAAGAATTCAAAATAAAAAAACGAGTCAGTATTTATTTCTTTTCTACCAAAGGGCAAACTGAACAGTCCAAGGTATAGCAACCATATATAATTGAAACATTTGAGTGCTTGATTGACGGAATCTGGTGAAACTGCATCGGTGTGCTTAATGTTGACTTTGCTGCGGTTTGGACTGTAGATTAATTAGTTGTGCGATTCCGTTCACCATCGAGACACCATTCCTAGTTACTGGACGTGCTTCTGTAAAGTAAGTATACCTTTTTGAGATATATATGTTGTATGAATATAATATTCTTTTAAGTTATGTACGAAGGACTTTAAATAGTTTAAGTGTTGGACGACAAATCTTATCAATTGGTAATTGATCGTCCATTTAGAAGATACACGCAATTAAAAATTGAGCGTAAATGACATCGGGTATATATTCTTTTGTTTCAATTTTGAATTGTTTTATACCTCGGGCACTTTGAAAAAATTAATCCATAAACATGATAAAGACGACTGTACTAAACTAGCTTGAATTTTTGTTTTTTAAAATAGTTAAGATCTTTTCACTGAGTTTGCATCTAGACAATTTGTGGTATTTTCTACTCCATATTTTAATCTATTCAAAGGTTGTGTTCTCTTCCTAACAATCTCACCCTTTCTAAATCAAATAAGATTCTAGAGTTTGCAATTCCTGTTTGTTGCCTGAATATGTGTAGAATTAATTAGGTAAACTGATAGTAATTTTTTGGGATGTTTTATTGCAATTCAAATAAATTAACATAGGTATTTTGGTTCAATTTCATTCATACAAAGCTTTTGTTAGAAATTTGGATCGTTAGATCTTGTTTTTATGCATGCACGGGACGTATTTACAGCGAATATAAAATATCCAAACCTATATAGATTCTAGAAATTCAATAATCAATAAATGGATATTGACCATTCTGCGATTTACCATATTCAGACTATTGTAAGTATTCAATAAAACATTGACTCAATCCTCAAGATCACGTACCTATTAATGCTTTACATTTCTATTTACCCGCATGTTTTGTTTTGTGCATGCCAATATGTATTCAACAGAATCGAAAGAAAAAGCGAGGTGGTTACCTGGAATACCTTCTGCTTTGTTGTTACACAGGTACAGGAAGGAAGGTTGAAGTAAAGCGAATGTTCATTGAATTTTTTTAAGAGGTTTGTGATAGTTTATAACTCATAATATAATTATAATAAAATTAGATTTACATGAAGACGTTCAGGAGAGAAATGCAGTATTACATAACGCTAAAATGTCTATTTGAGTTTGGTCATACAAAGCACAATGCTAGATGCAATACCGTCTTGTTGAATTATTCAGAAAATTGTCCACCCCTACTAATGTGTTCGGAACCTTTTATTTTTCGGTGTTCTGCAAATTATAAAACCCGATGAGTTCAGAGTAGCTCTGGCAGTGGCTCTGGCGAGAGTTAGCGAGACTTCAGCGAGATAGGGTAAATTATTCACGGAAATGTGGCTAGGAAGTGACTAGCACGTTGAGGCATGGTAAACAGGAAAGTTATGTTGCGTTTCAGTTTTCACCACCCTAGAATCAGCTGATAATGTCTGTAGAACTGTACTTCACTCAATCGATCTCTCTTACATTCATTCAAACTTAAATAAGTACTCTCTATAATACAATTTTCTGCAGTCATGAATTAAAATTTCTCTTTGGACAAATAATTTTGCATGGGAACCGGGACTATATTTTTTGGCGTCAGATTAGCAAATGAGGCACCAGCATGATTTTAATTAACTGACCAATCAGCTGAATGAGTATTGCATTATGGGTTACTACGAATACTACAGGAATTTTACACTTGAAAAAAAAACTTATGATAAATGAAAAGCATTTTTTAAAATATTATTTTCATGCTCATAATGACAAACAATTCATTTGTGAAATAAACGGTGGAAGGCTAGGTTTCTGAAAGTCATGCTGCAAAAGCGATGTGCGTCTGTATTAATTCCTTTGTTGTACTATCGGTGAATACAATTGCCAGGTGGATTCCTTGGCCGAACACGTGATCACGATCGTAAACAAAGTTTTGTCCATTTAAATACCCTTGAACAGTGCTGGTGTTCGTGGTAAGATCCTCTGTGCGCATTTATAACACTAGCTATATAAGGCAAACAAAGGTTTGTCAGAGTAGATTATAATACACATTTTTACCAGCGAATCGGTCGCTAGTGAGCTCTAATTTTCGCCGAAAAGTATAAGATATATTGTTATTTTAACACCCCTCCTTTATCCACTTTTTTTCTGTTGAAAATCATGAGAGTCTTTCAGAAAGGTCTGGAAACATTTACTAGAGGACATGTTTTCAAAAGAAACAGGCTATAGCAATATCATGTTTACTGCCAATTTTATTTATAAAACCGGTTCTACCCTATAACCTTTGAATAGATCAACCTAAACCACGTGTCTTGAATTTAAATCACAATAACATTAGTAGGGGTGTTGTCGATCATTGAAATTTGTCCTTCAAAACCAGATAGTGAATTATGATAGGAAAAATGATACTGCGTCACTTAACGTTTCCTTGGCAATCCTATTGAAAAATAAAGGTTAAAGATAACGATAATATCAATGTCATAAAGACATAAAACAATGTAAATAGGGGAACAGAACATGGACAAGAACCCTTGGAAACTCCAGAGTTGTATTGATCAAGAAGAATTATATAAAAAAAACCTAATCTTTAAGGTAAAAATCCATTTTCAAGAAGCAAAGGGTTAATTGTTTTTTTAAAGGACAATATTTCTGACATATGGAAGTAAAATTATATCAGAGGCAACAGCTGAAATATTTATTCAAACCTTTCGCAATTAGGGTATAACTAAATTTAAATAATCATGTTTGAAGAACCCAACAAATTTAAGATTTAAAAGTAGTATTTTAAAAATACTGAAGAATAACGCTCCATGAAACAACTCTTTCTTCAGCTTACCATCACCTACCTCATTAAAGCGTTCTGTTAGCTGTGATTTTCCTCGAAAAGAAAGCAATTGAAATCTGCCAGCCAATAAACATAAAGATTATAAATGCTGTGATATGCTATTATCTTACTTGAAACGATGACCGAAGTAGATTTTCAAACGAAATTTAAATTTGTCCGTTGCCTGTTGTCATTATTGTCTACAAAGTTATTGAAAAATACATTAAGTTTATAAAACAAGGATGTCAACAGTTCGGCTTAAAGTCAACAATTTTCAAAATCTGAGTTTTGGTGTCTCAGATCAACAACGGATGCTTACTCATAGAGGCCACCTGATCCCAATCTGTTTGAAAGATCTGTTAGTCCTGGTCATAATCTGTATTGTTAAATTAGATTTTTGAGTATTGTTCTTTTTCTTAACACTTTATTTTCCTAAACCTTTCTCCAGACCCAAACGAGGAGCAGGGTATCACTGTGTAAAAGGAATTCAAATTTGATCAAATGAAGGCATGCCTTTTTAAGGGGGATTCATTTTTTTTAAAAAAGATATAAAAGTGGTTTTCTTAAAATGATCCTTTTTGCCAAAAAAGTTGAAACTCAAAAACTCATTTGAAGCGTCATATACCTTAGGGTCCAAGTTGTTCAAAATATGGTTATTGGATGTTGGGTGGGTCACAATTAAGGATTAATAGTTAACATGAGAAATTTAAAAATTCGTGCCCTCTTAAAAATACCTATACATGTATCCACAGGTAGCTTAAATTTTTGCAGGGACAGGAGTCAATCAGTCAAAGCCTAATATAGACTAGGGCCTCTTGCTTAAAATGTATATCATTTTATTATATAGTCTATTTATATAATCTATATAATCTATACAAGCACAAACAGTTCATAACACTACATATTCACCTGATTTTAGGCCGTATTCACCGGAGGGTCAATGCGCGTGCAACGGCATTGTGACGTCACAATCAAAATATCGAACAACGTTGTAAACAATGGTTGCAACGGCCGCAGCGAGCTACGTATCTGAGCAGGAAAACAATTATTCAAATCTATTTCAGGATTATTTTTTAACATCTGGACGTCTTAGACATAGCGAAACTCGGAAAGGAAAACACAGAGATTACAAACAGTAATCTGGAGATTTTTTTTATTTTCAACAATGAAAGATCGCAAATGAAAATGGAATAACAAACCATATTCAACACCAAAAGAGTCCATAATTGTATAATATGTTCTGCTGCTGAAATGTTGGTCAGTAAAAAGGAAGCATATTTCACCATAAACGTTAACTTGTCTTTTTATTGACAGATTAGAATCGGTCATGAGTGCATCAGATTCCATAATGGCCCAAGAGGTCTATCTTTGTAACTTCTGCAGTGGTCAGGCTGCCGAAATTTGCTGTAAAAGTTGTCAGGCTTATCTGTGTAGGAATTGCGTTGCTAACCACCTTCAGCAACTGAAGGATGAACGACATGACATCGTGCCGTTTAAAAAGAGACGAAGGCGGCGATGTACGTCACATCCGGATCACCGATGTGAGGCCTTTTGTAAGGACTGTCAGGAGCACGTGTGCCTGAAATGTTTGATTGGAGGACATAGACTTCATGACGTAGACGAATACCCAGTTGTTATCCAATCAGAAAAAAGGACAGAAGATAAAGATGAAGATGAAAATGCTAGCGTAGATGAAGAGATCGTTGAATCTAATGCTAGTAAAAAATGCTGCACTTTCTTCCTACAACCAGTTCTTTCAATGCGCAGATGTAAGTTTGCAGATTTCTACTTTTTTCCAGATCCAAGTTATGATTTGCAAAATGTGATTGGTAATTAAAGTAGACGACAATATACCGGTATCTAATTCAAATGAATAAAAATTTATTCTTCCGACACGCAGGAGTCTGCGAACATGAACTTTGTATTAGAATACCATTGAATTACCAAGTTACCTATTAAAGTTATAATTGTATTTTTTTCTTATTAGGTTGCATATCTGTGCTACAGTGTGGACCAATGTCAAAATTGATTTGTTGTGCAATTTTGTTCACCATAGGGTTAACACTCTTACTTATTGGATGCATTCCTTTCATGCAAGTATACAGTGTCAAGAAATATTCAATACGCAAGAGTATGCTTTAAATTTAACATTCTGCAAGACGACACAAGCTATTTACAAACAAGTTAATGCTTCAAGGATTTAATTCCTATTCGTTATCTTCATATTTAACGATTCAGAGAAGTGACAAGTATTGTAGATGAATTTCTTTTCTGGTTTCAGGAATTTCTATCCTTTCTTCGTTGCCTTCTTTTATGTTTGGTTTGCCCTCTGTTCTCCTTTACGCCGATATTTACCAGGCTTGTCGAAATACCCAGATCTTTCGCTATTCCTTGCCACTGGTGCCTTCGTTTCAGCCAACGCTTTTCCGATTGTACTCACTAACAGTTCCAAGGTAGGTTTTAATTTTTGTTTTTTGGAAAACCAAATTTTTTTTTACATTGCACACGTGCAAGTGTCAAACTGTCTTCATGTTTTAGAGCTTTGGAGGGTTTCACTATTTTAATTATTTTATTAATTATTTTCATATACTGTCATGTATTTAAATATCATAAAAGGGAGAACTGAAGGAATAAATTGAATTTTTATTTGTCAAGGGTTTCCAAAATTTGTCTTAAATATCCACTCCACATCAACTGTAACAATCACACGCATATTGATATGTAATATCTTATATTTAAAAAGATAAATACAACCTTGATACATTGGGTAGGATTGAAAACAGTTTCTGTTAAAACATACTTTACTTCTTTTTCAGATCACAGGTACAGCATGTGTCTTCTCAATATTCGGCAACATTTTTATATTCATCTCTATTTATAAAATGTTTTCTGAAGCAGAGAATCCTATCCCTCAAGAAACAGAATGAATATAAGAAAATGCATACATATATTAACTAATTATTTTGCGAGTACGTATTATCGCAAAATAAATGGCTCTATTAAGTCTATATACTGGTTTAATCATAACTACATGATTGTCAGGATGCAGTCTACATTTCGAGAATTACCGAAATACGAATATGTAATTTAAAGACGGAATTTTTTAAAGCAAAAAAAAAAAAACGTACCAATAAAGAAAATGTCGATGAATGTGAGACTTTTCAGACGAGGGAAGAAATTTGGACCTCTAATAAAAACGGTACACATGCATCTAATCATTGTACGTAGGCGATCTAAATGATTCATCGATTCTTTTCCTTATTGAAACTTCAAAAAACCCGCAATCTTTTTTTTTAAAGTTTGTGCAACCAAGAAAATCGGTTACTTTTTATTAAGACTACGACGTTTCTTTCGTTTTCAAGTAGCTATAATTTCAAGTAGATTTGTAAATATGCATAGTTGAACTTAATAAAATCATCAAATGCATCACTGCTTAATATCATTATCTTTTTATAACATTTAATAAATTTTAAAAGCCATAAATATCGTCGATTTATTTATGCACGTTTGTATACAGAAACAACCTGTCCCACCTCCCTGTCGAAATGGATACTTTTTGCGCCTCTATCGTAGGAGAGTTACAATCTCGAAACTGGCGTATTGGCAAGAACAATTATTCTCCAGAAGGCGGTTGATCTTTATATCAAAAAATGATTAGTATTTTCTGATATCAAATTATCGATTTTTTGATATCAGAAAATAAGAGCCAAGTAAAATTACGATCTACTTAACAATTGCTCCCCGTGATGAACATTCACCTTTCCGCCACACAAATTTGTTGCGAACTTTGTTGGGTTCTAATAAGTTTAGGACATTTCTGGATGTTAGGATGCCAGCGTTCTTCTGCATTTTTGATGATATTTTTAATCATTTATTTTGAATACATAACTTAAGCACAAACTTTATGGATAGCGCATACTTCACATTGAAGAATGAACTGCGATCACACAACGAGTACTTGCTGGTGAGCTGTGATGTAACATCACTTTACACAAAATCAACTGGAGAAGCTAATTAATTGCTGGTGTTGTCTAAGCCCGACCTAAAGCACACCTAGATCATTTACTCAGATTTATCCCACAAAGTGATATATTAGGCAAATAAATATGACCAAAAATATCGAGAACACTTATTCATTAGGCACTGAAGTTCAGGATTTTCTACCGTTCAAGGGAGTATTCAATTTTCATGTAAAAATTCTTTGCCATTTTATTTTATTTTATAATATCAAAAATATATTTTGTGATATGAAGAAATCAATTTGAATCTTGATATCAGAAATTCGAATTTTTTATATCAGAAAGATGACTTATTTTAGATATCAAGAATTCAAATTTTTTCTATTAAAAAAAAATGATGTTTTTTTTAATAGTATAAAATCCCAAAGATTTTTTGATATCAAAAATTCGATTCTTGATATCATAAAATGATTTTCTGATATCAGAAATTCGAATTTTTCGATATTAAAAATCTTCTTCATTTTCTGATATCAAAAAATATATTTTCCGATATCAGAAAATAATTTTTTGATATCAGAAAATACCTTTAAAATATTATAACGGCGCCCCATTGTATTTCTCAACAAATGCTTATGCATACCTATACTTCTGCCTTCCCCAGACGCAATGCACCAAACGTTTATTTCACTAAAACTATATTTATATGTACGATAAGTACCTTTTACTGTGACAAAGAGCTACGTTCACTTTATGCAGAAATGACCCTGTCTTTATATCAAATATTTGACTATCACTCTATGTCCTATTTCATAGAGGCCCCTATCAAACTAAAGTAGAGACTTAGTGCTTTCATTTCCTACTAAAGAATTCCTTTCTGAGAATTGAGGTATTTGAAAACAAGCTTTGAGAAAATGTAACGTTCCTTAATTTTGCAGAAAACATGCGTATCTGACTACCTTCAGCAATGAATTTTTAACATGATCACAGCCTACGATCCAAAAATTGAAACACATTTTATGATCTATAGTAGTTCTCTCGTTATGTAATTGCATATTTTGGATCAGAAGTTGTACTCCATAGGAAATATTGAAACAAGACTTCAACTTTTGGTCATTTAAAAGGAATTTACAGGCTATTGGAAAAATGTCGCATTTTATGACGTCATAATATTTTACTACATAGAAAATTACGTCATGTTCAACAGTTGCACAGTCACCAAGGATCCAAGTAATAAATACTAGAACTACATTTTAAATTAAAAGTGAAAAATTTCGACTTTTCAGAAATTCATAGGACCATAAAAGGCCCTAAGTGGCTATTGTTCTTTGTTGTTTGTATGAAATAAAAAGAATTAGTTTGACAAACAATAACTTCAACCCCTGAGGATTTTAGCTTTGTTTGTTTGTTGTTTAAGTTTAACGTCCTTCTCCGGAATTTTTTTTACTCATATGGAGACGCCACCACTTGCCGGTGGAAGCCTGCAAATTGATCTATGCTCGACACGCAGAGCTATTGATTAGTAGAAGGTTCTTTTTCTTACCAACACCCGCTGCTACACAGGACGTCGGTTTACCTTGTTTGTGTTCTAATCCCAGGACCGGTCTCCACGTCCAACAGTGCTTTCAAATCCGCCACGGAAGGATCAGCTTTCTACTTCTCGACTCTAAAGCTGAAGCTCTAGCCACTGCTCCACATTTTTTAATTGTCATTGATCATTGGCGACAGGACTTTATTTCTACTAGTATTTGATTACTGTCCATGATTCTTCTAGACGTCTGGCTAAATATGAACGAGCAGACCTGAACACTTTGGTAAAATGGATCAGGTGTTTTAGAAATATTTCAAGGAATCGTATAAGCCTAAGAACGTGAAAAGTCGATATGTGATCTATTTATCTATTTGCTTTACTAACTGAAAGATGATAAAGATATTAAAAAATCTACATAAAGTTATGCAAAGGTGAAATATGTTGATATAATGAACAGTATTTAAGCACAAACAGCTCATTAAACATTATTGAAAAAGGAGCATTTAGCAACCATATGCATGGACATCTAAAACATTAGAGGTAGGATCAGATGCCGAAGAGAAGTGAATATCCCTTGCCGACCGCAAATACACTGCGTGTTATGTTCGAGAAATAACGGGAAAATCCGTCGACAATTCAGTGTCAAAATAATTGCTTAACAGTCAGTATGAAAAAAGTTAGTCATCATTTTATTCAGTGGTAGGTTGTATTTGAATTCACCCACGATTAATTTAAGTACAGACTTTGTTAAAGTTGTTAAAATGCATTTGATTGTTCACACAAGTACTCTGAAGTTGATATCTAAAAGATGCTTGAGTTTCTGATGGAAGGTCTTCCAATTTATTGGAATTCCCATGGATATATTTTGTGTCCCATTATTAGACGACTGATTTTCCCGTTATTTCTCCATGACACCAGGGGCTTGTAACATAAAGCTTGCTAAGTTTTTGACTTAAGTAGGGTCATAAGTGCGGTTTAGGCACAATCTTAGGATCTTTCTACGTGTAAGTACTACTTAAGTATGCCCTAAACCGTAACACAAAGCGAACTAAGCTAGGTTAACTTTTAACTTATGTTAAAAATATTTCATAAGAGTCAACCTATAGTTTTTGATTTTATATAGATACATTGCTAAATGTGATTCAGTTAGGGTTTTAATTAATTACAAATTAAAGTTGACGTCCTTACCTATCGGTTTAAGTTATGTTAGATTAGATTTCGTATTAAAATTATAATTATGTTATAAACTATTCGGAATGTTAGAAAACAAATACTGCACGCTTAGAAAGTGGCGATTTGTGGTTCATTGTAAATGTTCACGACAATTGTTTATCACCTTAGATGTTTTCAGTTTACCTTAAATTGTATCTCTATTGTTTTGATAAATGTTCACTTACCCTGTAATTATCGCAGACAAGAAAAGATAATCGACCTTCTATTCACTCGAAATTGAAACTCCAAAAAGTTCAATACATTTTGAATCCCCGCTATGTATTAGGCCATGCAGGTCAGAAGCAAAAAATGCAGAAGTTTTATGACATACTCATTTGCCATATAATCAAGGATACAAAAAAAAAAATCGGGATATGTCTCCACTTATCAGCAATTCTCCCTCTCTCTCTAGAAATGTAGTGATCCCTGTCTAAATCCGCACTGGTTGCGTTCTACATTTATTCTAAACTTTAAACAGATACTTTTATTACTGTTATAGTCATAATCCCCTTTCTTGTCTGTTTTTAACAAATTATTTCAACTCATTTTTCAAAGTGAACATACAGATCCATGATTTATTGCTGTGTACAATTTATAACTACCGGTATAACCGAGTTCCCACTTATTTCAGACGTATCCCTATATTAAATTTTGTGTTTACTCGTATGCTGTGTTTTGAGTGAAATTGGAATCAGTGATCCGCCCCCCTCCCCCCCCCCCCCCAACGAAAAATTAAAATTCTTAAATCAGCGCGTCAAATAGAGATATCAAATAGAGATAATTATTTTCTTGAATGCATAATATGAATAAGGAATCTTTTAACATCGAAAGTCAACATTAAATAACTCTAAATATATGTACAAGAAAGTTAATATATACTTAAGTCACTTCTACCGGCCGCCTAAGTTTTGCTAAGATTGGCAAATCTAAGTACGCTTCTAGTTACGGTCTTAAGTTTTAGACTGTACTTAAGTCCTACTTAAGCACGGTCTTAGACTTAAGTAGCCTTTATGTTACGACCCCTGATCTCACCTCTGATGTTTTGGACGTCCTTGTTTGTTCAGCTCTTATATTGTATTGTTTTATGTACTTTTGAGCTTGAATACTGTTCGTTATCTCCATATATTTCATCAGTAAAATAAGAAATCCTATTAAATCCTCATAAATTCATTATGGGAGTAATTCCATTAACTAGGGAAAAGCTCGTTGGTTTTTAAAGTGTACTTTTTCGAGTTAAATATCTATTTGTTGATTAACATCGGTTGATGAATGACTACTTCTGCTATTTCACTATGTACAAA